GTTTACCCTGTGCCAATATTGTACGTGCCTTCCTCATTTTGGTATACCTTCAATTTCAGCAATGGTGAATAACGCTAATGCGTGTTTTCTTCCTACACTTTGAAGCTTGCTGTGTGGTGCACCGACAAAAAATATTAATTTTAAACATAAGAAGCTTGTAGTCTTGTTTGTTCTGATCACTTCTGTTTATTGTTCAAGTTTCTATTGTTGTTAACACCAAAGTTACAAGCTCTAAAAGATAACGCAGCTTGTTCGGCAGCGACATCAGAAAATTAAAGCAAGTCATAGATGTCGATGAAATGTACTGTAGTGTATTAAACTGTGACAAGTAAATCAAACAAAATGTTAATAGCGGGTATTTCCTCCCCTCGCTTGAATTGTGTCCCTCATCCTTCGAGACATACTTCGAATCAGATTTTTCATTTTAAGAATCTGATTCCACTCTTTTTCTAGCACTATTCTCGTCTCCCTAGCATATCCCACATGTGTATGGGGTTTAAATCAAGGCTACGTGCAGGCCATTCCATTCTGCTGATATCCAAATCATCCAGGTATTGGGACACTATGCGGGCTGTATGGGAGCGTGCATTATCGTGAATGAACAAGAAGTTGTCACCAATAAATGGGCCGAAGAAAACCACGTGTTTGGCCAAAATTTCATCAATATTCCGAGCCGCGTTTAGATTGCCTTTGATAAAACAAAGTTTCGTACGTGCTTCGAAGCAGATTAATCTTCGAACCATTACAGATCTCCAAACTCTCTCTCGACCATCTCGAGAGCACAAGCCGAACCTCGCCTTGTCTGAGAACAGTACGTTTCGCTACTTTGCATTGGTCTACTGAACATGATCTCGTGCAAATTGTAATCGAGCAATACGATGTTCTTAATCCCGTTTCTTCAAATCTCCTTCTTACTGTGCGTACATTCACTTTCACCCGACGCACTTGCTCCAGACGAGTTCTTATCTCAACTGCTGTGGTATGTCGATTTCGTAACACGGTCATTACAATACATCGATCATCACGGGGTTGTGTGGTGCGCCTTCTTCCTGACGCAGATCGTCTGATGAAGGTGCCAATCTGCCGAAATCTTTGAATGGCGCGACAAACCGTACTATGTATCGCGCCAAGAACACGAGCAGCATAACGAGCTGCGTCCATCTTCCACCAAAGCCATTGCCTGAGCAACTTCTGCAAGACTTAAAGGTATTTTTCTTGTCTAGCAACAGTCAACGACGTTAACGACACTAAACGTCACTGAAATGTTTTCGTCAATTTCCATGGCTAGCTTTAATTTTGTATGGCACTGTCGAAGAAGCTGCTTTATCCTTTAGAGCTTGTAACTTTGGTGTTAACAACAATAGAAACTTGAACTAAAAACAGAAGTGACAGAAGATCAAACAAGACTACAAGCTCTTTATGTGCACCCCACAGCAAACTTCAAAGTGTAGGAAGAAAACACGCATTAGCGTTATTCACCATTGCTGATATTGGAGAGTGCCAAAATGGGGTAGACTTTTCAAATAAATAAAACCTTGTTCAAATTGAGCAATATGTTTAAAAGTTATGGCACTTTGAAACTGGTCATCATTTTAGGTGATGCGTTTTTTATGCCGGTGAGTATAGATATGAAAATTTTTATTCCCAGGAGCTTTGTAATTTTATTAAATCATCTTGTATTATTTTGCCCAGTGACTTAACTGATCTTGAAAAGTCCATTTTTTATTAACTCTACACAAAATGTTGATCAAAATTTGTTCATTTTTAGGTTTTGTAACTTCTCACAATAATTCCAGTGGTGCTCAAAACAATGATTGTTGAACAGCTTTTTGGTCACTCGAATTGTTATGATAAAATAAATGACATCTTTAAGGTTTTTGATGAGAGATAATCAACAATCACCAAGGGTTTTGACATATTCAATCATGATTCGTTGCTGCCAATCGTGAGTTATCACGATTCCAATTCGCTATAAAATTAATTTCTTGAGGGATCCTTGTGGAAATATTACCAACTATTAATTAAAATATCCTCTTTTTAATGCAAAAAACCGTTTTGAAAAATCACTTGCAGTTCTTGAGAAAAAAATTTTTGAAATTATCGGCAATTTTTTCGAATTTTGCAATTTTCGCCGATTAAGTTTTAACAATTCGTATAAAATTCAGTTCTTGGAATAGGACTATGAAAACTTCACAAAGTGTTAATAAAAGTGTCCTCTTTCCAATGAACCAACCTGTTTTGAAAAATTACTTTTAGTTTTTGAAAAAACAATATTTGAAATTTTGATAAAATTTTCGATGTTGCAATTTTCATCGATAACTTTCAAAATTCGCTATAATATTAATTTCTTGAAGGATCCTTGTGGAAATACCACCAATTATTAATTATAGTATCCTCTTTTTAATGCAATAAGCCGTTTTGAAAAATTGCTTTAGGTTTTTAAGAAATAAATTTTTGAAATGATCGACAAGTTTATCGAATTTTGCAATTTTCGCCGATTAAGTTTTAAAAATTCCTATAAAATCCATTTCTTGGAAAATGAGTATGAAAATTTCCCAAAGTGTTAATAAAAGTGTCCTCTTTCTAATGAACTAACCCGTTTTGAAAAATAACTTTTAGTTTTTGAAAAAACAATATTTGAAGTTTTGATAAAATTTTCGATGTTGCAATTTTCATCGATAACTTTCAAAATTCGCTATAATATTAGTTTCTTGAATTATCGTTGTGGAAATATCACCAATTATTAACTGAAGTATCCTCTTTTTAATCCAAAAAGCCGTTTTGAGAAATCACTTTTAGTTCTTGAGAAATAAATTTTTGAAATAACCGACAATTTTTTTGAATTTTGTAATTTTCGCCGATTAAGTTTTAAAAATTCGTATAAAATCCATTTCTTGGAATATGAGTATGAAAATATCCCAGAGTGTTAATAAAAGTGTCCTTTTTCGAGGGTACCAATCAGTTTTGTAAAATAACTTTTAGTTTTTGAGAAAACAATATTTGAAGTTTTGATAAAATTTTCGATGTTACAATTTTCATCGATAATTTTTAAAATTCGCTATAAAATTCATTTCTTGAAGGATCCTTTTGGAAATATCGCCAATTATTAATTAAAATATCCTGTTTTTTGAGTTGCTTCGTTAGTTAAATCAGCATCAAAAAAGTTCATTTTGTAGCTTTCTTATTAATTTAGTTTTTATTCAAATATCGCAATATTGTGGCAATATAGAGTATTACTTCAGAAATGCACCAGAAATAATAACCATAATGGCCGGATAGATATGCGGGATAACTGGATATCTGGCCGAAAGGGATGTCGAATATCCAGTATCTGGCTATTCGCAAAATCACTATCCGTTTCATCACTAGTATTAGTAGAACGATTGTTAAGTAGTTCCGGAATTATCTTATGGATAGATGGCACTCAGTATATGTAGTGAATGGTATCATCTCGTCTTCTACTTCGGTTACCTCTGAAGCCACAAAGCTTTAGTTTAAAGAATCGTGAAAAAGCAATTTCTTGGAAAGTAATTATAAAACTGTCAAATTATCAAGGAGTGTGTTTTTTCTAAAAAACAAAACTGTTTCGGAAAATCACTTTTAGTTGCATATAATTTATTCAATCAAATATTCCTTCTCATTGCAACTTCGCATCATCAAATACAGTAGTTGCAGTTTCGGTTTTCCAAAGTTTTTTGAGTGTTCTGTATCAGGATTTTGGTAATGATTAGGTATTCAAAATTTAAGAATTCCAACAGCCCTCCACTTCAATGTCGTGATTTAGCCAGATCATTCAGGACTTCACGGATCTTGCTGCCAAAGGCAGTTTCCGTTTCTTATGTATTTACCGATTTCAATCCTTTTCAATCAATATTATTTACCAATGTCATCGTTGTAGTTTTGTTCTTCTACTGGCTTAACCAGCAAAGCTAGATTCCTTCCTGTTTTGGTCTTTGCCTGATTTTGCTTCAGATCTTCTACCACCGTCTTTGATTCTGGTTCTTCTTTGTAAATAAAGAAAATTGCTTGTGATTTATATACGCTACTTCTGCATTACGAATTGCTACAACCTGGTTACATCTATTCAAACAGGTTTCCGTTCAGCTGATGCAGTATGTGTTAACTGTTTTCGGGTGGATATCAAGCGAGGTTAATTTAATATTAGTCTGATATAAATTGCAACGTCTCTGCCATTACTTCCGACGATGCATCAATGATAGTACACCGAAAGAAAAAGTACGTGAAACATGTCGAATAGATTTGAACAACAACAATTTCAAAATGGTATTCTACTTGGAGATAAGGGGTATAAAATACATTAGTATTGAGTGTAATATCAACATGTTTTTAATTTTCTTGCTAATTCTCTTGATTTTTAGAAATCTCACTATTTTTGTATTTTGGCACGTCTCTGCGATCCCTTTCCTACCAAAGATTAATTTCTTTCCGCTTAAAATTTTCCTCCCATAGGTGTTTTTTAGCGTTAATCTTTTGTTAATCATTGTTTAACTTCATTATACACGTATTACGAGTTACAAGTTCACCTACGCCATCAATCATTATGAAATTCTCGTAGACATATTATTCTAATTAGTAGATAACCTATCCTCTTGATAAATCAGAATTGATAAGTCATTCCAATAGGTGATTTGATTGCTGGTACGAATAAGCTACAAAAAGCAAAGTATTTTAATAAAAAAAAATTGTTAAAGTATTTTAAAACATATATCTGCCCGACTCTGCAAGAAGCTTCCACCTGCATCTTTGTTGCTTCACTATAAAGCCTTTGAGTGACAAAAAGTGACTAAGCAATTTCTCTTAGCGACCCTATTCCACACCGATTATTAATATAGATTGGCTAACGGAGAAGCTTTTAACTCATAGTATTTCGTAATACAAAATTAAAATTAGAAAATGTCTCAAATAAGTTTTGAACGGTTTAACATACAAGAAATAAAAAGAATTACAAAAAAAAATTTTTATTAACATCGTTTTAGAAACTTTATAACATTAAATATCATTGAACCTCTTGATTATTATTAAATACTCTAATAGCAAACAGAGCCAATAACTGCTTTAATATTTTTTTAAATAACACGTAAATGATCAACACATGGAGCATATTACTAAGATTGTTACTATCACCGTCTGCAAATAAAATAAAAAATTTGATATATTTATCATCCTGATTAATATTACCTGAACTTGAAAAACCTGGGGGATGAGTTATTTCTATCACCTTGAATTTAATACGACTATCGTTATTGTCTTTCAAGAATTTTTCCCGAGCTAAATCCGTCGTTTGTGGTGAAGTAGTGGTCTCTGTAAAGAATTCAGTACGATTTGATAAGAAAATTAAAAAGTTCTTTGCTAGTTTTTCATGTCGATTATTAGTATCTGTTTTCTCGGTGGGGGTTGTAGTAACAACGGTTTGTTTGGTTTCTTTCTTTTTTGTTGTTGGGGTTTCTTTAACCCATATATCCTTAAAGATTTGTGGCCTTATTAAATTATGTTTATGAGACGAATGGTGATGCGATTTCTTCGGAACATAACTTTGAATAAAAGGGGTCAATGTAAAGTTGTTTATAAACACTACAAAAGGAATAACCGAACGCCTCCAAATTTAATGTTACATATAAAACATTTAAGTCGATCAAATTACCTGTAGTAGTACTTGGTGTTGTTTTCGTTCTGAATGTTTTAAACAATAAAGGTTCTTCGTTATCGTACGGGAGAAGTGATTCCTCTTTATGCGTTTTTTTGTCTTCAGAAGTAACCAAAAATCTCGGAACGATTTCAAGATTTTTTTTTTCAGTTATGGTCGTTTCATAATCTTGTTCTGTTGTGGACGTTGTTGGTCTAGTCCTTTCTCTTCTGGTGAATAAAACGTCTTTGCCACGTCTACGAGTTGTTGAGGAGGTGGTCATAAATCGATATTTAAGAATATCCTTTTTATCTCTTTCCAAAATAATCGTTACATTATTTTCCGGGAGAGAATCGTTAGCTTGTGGAGTTGTTTCAGAAATGTTTAACGAACTACTTAAGTCTTCTTCGGTCGACCAACAGCATTTAGAAAGTAAAAGTAATAATATTAATACACTTGGGTTCATCTTTAATTATTTCTCTTAATGACGTGTGACTTAATGGATTCTATCAAAAAATTTTTTTAGACATCTTGATGTTTGTATAAGATGTATAATATTAAATGAATGTGTTAAATAAATTAATTAAAATTCATTATGGTTGAGGTATGTGCATGAATATTTTAATAGTAGGTAGTCGTAAATTACCGTGATATGACCGTCGTTAAAAATTTCTATGTAAATTTTGTTACGCATATTGGTTGACGACCTTGTGGTATGGTCGGCCTCGTAATTTTTAAACACACCAAACACCTGCACAGGAATTGGCAAATGAAAACAAATTGCATTGGAAATAATCAACGAAACGAACGTACAATCAAGATAATCTTTTTAACGAAAATAATGGTAGAAAGTCGGATTAAGTATGAATAATCTGAAATCGCTGCATTTGCATAAAACCACCGATAAGTTTTAATATAAGTATAAAACTCCTTGATTTTACTACATAATTTATTCCCAACTAATTAACGGGACCGTTATTGGAGTAATTTTTCATCGAGTCACTTCTTTTCGTTGCCGGGTGTCGTAGTAATAAATATTACGCCCAATTTGCGACCAGCGATCGCGTAATCGCCGTCAAAAGTGCCATCTGTTGGTGTTTGTCCTGGAGCGCACCGATATTTTCACACAGTTACACGTGCACACGTGTGCGGGGAGACGAAGACCGGTGGAGTTATGTGGATCTGTCGATGCGTTCGATTCCCGATGCTGCTGTTGTTGCTGCCGCCGTTGTTGCGTACAGCCTCTTCCAGTGGGATCCAGTTTTCAGAAACCCGCCGACGATGCACACGTGCATCTTAAGATTTGGACACACCTGCGAACAAAGAACTTTTTTGTTAAGATACCACAACAATAATTATTCATCTTAATCCTTAGTTATAGGACATAGAAAATTTTAAAACGTAAATACACTCTCCTTAACATCTATTAATATCTATGATATGATTAAGATTAGACATAAATAATTTACTTATATGGAAGGAGGAAATCGAATAATTAATTCAAAGCAATAATTTTATCTCCGATGGGGGGATGAAGGAAAATACAAATCAAGATAAGTGTTCATCCTCAATTATTAAAATTATTAAAAGATCGTGAAAGTCAGATAAATAAGTTACATCAATATCTTAAAAAGTATTTAATATTCCACAAGCTTCGAAAGCTCAATAAAGATTAACTCAATTTAATAAAGAATGAAATTAAAGTCTTGTGTTAAAATATAAAGTAGGCTTTAAACAAAAGGCGAAGAAGAAGAAGTTCTTCTTGTGGGCCGCAATGGTAGCAAGCGCACGATGTAAGCGGTGGTAGAGGAGGGCAAAGAGCTACGCGGATGAGAGCGGAGTGGAACACCTGCATTTTCACAATGAGCGGCCGCACACCTGAGATTCCGACATTCCGCGACTCCGCTGTCCTCCGGCTCCAAAAATCCACGGCATAAAGGCCCAGATGTACGGTTATGCATTCACGATCCGAGGATCAACCAACTGTGGCAATTCCAAGACTAATGGCTCCTCAGGTCGACCTACAATCGAAAGAACTTCAAATATGTTTGTTTAAGAATATAATTGGAATAAGAATTAAGAAAAAAAATTTATTCAATTTAAATTTGTTTCGGGTGAACATTTGTTGGATATATCATTATACAGTTTTTTTTTTTGGTATGAAAGCAAGTTCAGCAAGTATCATATAAAGAGGATATCAGAAGTTAAAGATTGTGATATTACAAATTTTACAACTTTCAAAAGTTTCTTCAAATCCTAAATATATTTCAGATCGATACTCAAAATGTTAACAACGTTATAACTTATTGTAGCTGAAGCGATCAAGTTTCAGGTTTTTCTTTATGTTGGAGCAAGTCAGCGGTACATGTATGTACTTCAAGATGTAAATACAACAAGTAGTTAAACATCCAAGAGATCCTGCTAAAAAAAATACTTTAGAAGAAACTAAACTTACCTTAGTTACTTTTGTCCCGGCTTCAATTATAGTGTTTTCAGCTTCAATTTTGAGACTTTTAACTATAGACCACGTTCTAAACGGGGATTTATGTCACTTGGTACTGCTTCCTTAATCGAAAAGTACTCAAAGAAAATTTTAGCTGTAATCGTTTAATGAAGGCTTGACAAAGAAACTGGTATGATGATCACAAGAATTCTTGCATGAATATGAGGCACGTGTAGCTGAATAAAAATAGATTCCATCCAATTTTTGATAAAGGAGTACTAACAACTTTCAAAGTTATTTAGAATTTTGTAAAAATCTTTTGCAAAATTGTTTGGGAAGAAATGCTCAAATTAACAATGTGAATTGTGTTTAAAATTTGGCTCCGAAACAGTCTTTCTGCTAAAACTGTCTGCATACACATTCAATAAAGGTGCTTTAAGGCTTCCTAAGAGCCGAGAGAAGAACATCTAATACTTCCAAAATCTAAAGAATGGTTCAAAAGACAACCAGAACCACTGGAAATGATTACTATTAATGAAGGTATACAAAGCTATAATAAATGTATACGGTACGTGGCAGACATAAATGATTTGCCGCCCAAGGAAATTAAGACCGAAGTATTTAATTAACATGTATTTTAGTACTTCTACCGCATAGTAGAATTAGACTGTTTGTGGAAATATTAATAAAAAATTATGGCAAAACTTTTAGCAGATTTGTTATGCCACAAAATCTAGAATCGCTTTTGACATTCTTTTGATAAAGCTTTGAATAAAGTGATATAATACTCATCTCATCAGGTGTCAAACTTGTTTGAGGAATGTGTCCATTAATAAATTTAATATTTATTTACAACTACACTTAACCGCAAAATTAACGCACCACTTATATATTTCGATTTATTATAATTAAAGTCATATTATCATACATTTTTAAAATCATATTAAAAATATAATACATAGACAGAATTATTTCGATAATAACAATAAGTTTGACTTAAATGAATTGTAGAAAATAAACGAAAATTAAAACTAAACAAAATCATGTAAAATGATCATAATTGTTACGAACACAAAGAACTTCTTTTGAACCGTATTTAGGTTATCAGTAACTAGTGTTACCACCTCTGGCTGTTATTGTAGCCTGACATCGTCGTGGCATACTTTCAATTAGAGATCTGATGGTTTCTTGAGGGATATCTTCCCACACATTTCGCGGAAGACTGTCGCCACCCTTCTATCGTTTGTCTTTATTTCAGAGGTCATACATATTTCAAATAACTTCGAAATACAATGAGGTGGACGATAATTATAAGGGGTTCTCACTAGGAAGGTTTAAATTTACACAGAAAAATTCTTGTTTTCTTGAACAATGTCTACATGGGGGCAACCGCTGATCTGACATGTTTTCAGCAATCTTGTTGTTGTATCTAGCTGTTGCTTTATAATTTTTGGCCGAGTCATGTTTTTCTTTTTCTGTTTCTTAGGTTAGTTATAGCAGCTGTACTAACTAGTACAAGCTGGAACTCGCCTATATTTTTTATTTTTTTTCTATGTTTTTTTTTTATACAATTAAGCTTATTTTCTAATAAAGGCATTTATTATTATACGCGAATAAGACTTTGTCGCAGCTCGTCTAAGCTGTTAGGTGGTGGATGCTGACTTCTAATCCTCCGTCCCATTATGTCCCAAAGATGCTCGATTGGGTCCAGATCTGGACTAAAGGCTGGCCACTCGAGGACTTGAATATTACATAATTTAAATATTCAGTAATAATATGTACCGCATGTGGCCTCGCATTATCCTGCATAAGAATGAACCCATCGCCAATGTAAGGTGCAAAAGGTATCACAAAAGGTTCTAAAATGTCTGTTATCTATCGTTCAGAAGTCGATACGTGCGAGCTGTTAAAGATATTTCACCCCATACTATCACCCTCCTTATAATGTGGTTTCTCGAAATTCATTTGGCCTTCTGTACACTCTTGGACGACGATCAGAACTTACAAGGCAAAACCGTGACTCATCCGTAAATAACACCTGCTCCCAATAATGGATTTCCCAATCCACGTGCCTTCTTGCAAAAGCCAATCTGTTTCTTCGGTGGTTTGCAGATAATCTGGGACCAGTAGCTGCTGCTCGAGGTCGTAAATTTTGAGTACGAAGTCTTCTTCTTATGGTATCTTGACTAACAGCAGTGCCATGAACCTCGCTTCGTTGTATTTGGAAGCTTCGTGCAGTAGTGAACCGTTCCCTAAGTGCTCGAACCATCAAAAATCGACCCTCCACCGCATTTGTAGCTCGTGGCCTGCCTTCGCCACGTCGTCTAGCATAATCAAAAACTTAATTTAAGCTGTAGTGCCATAAAAGGAAAGGCCCAAAATTGAATTAGTAAAGAAGAAGCAACCTCAATTTTCAAAAGTTTAGGGCTATCTTCAAATACCAAATAAGTACCTGGTAGTAAAACTTGCTCTATATTAATGTGGGATTGAAAATCATTTGCTACATGCTCTCAGTCATGGTCAAGACAGTACTCTTTTAGTAACATTTTTTTGCTTTTCTTTAACACGTTCATTACCAGACACGCGATATCGCGTGATGCGGGTTCTCACCAAACGGCCGATCATGGAAAAACTATGACAAAGAAATAATTTGACCACTACACAAAACTTCAATTTCCAGCTTGCCAATGAACGTGTTAATGAAGTACTTACTTAACGATTAATATAGCTACACCACAAGCTGCATTTATTTCAGCCATAATGTTGCTGCAAGTCACAAGAAAGCTTTCAGATGAGTTCTACAAGACAGCTTTTATGTGTTTCGTCATATTCAGCAAAATATTGTGCAACTTGTAAGTGAGAAGTACTCAGGTTCAGATTTTTGTAAGAATATAGGAGGAACTCAGAAAAGGTATACCAATTGCAAATGGAGGGTGCTGCAGGGTGATAGCCTCAACCTGGCTCTATTCAATTTGATGATGTACGAAATAATTGAAGAAACGATGAGTATTGGAAGAGAATGCTGTCTTAATCTATGACGACCAAGAGACCCTCAAAAGAGAATGCTGTTAAAATTCAATAAAACAACAAAGAAGTACGAGGCGTGTCCGGAAAATAAGTACCGTTTTGATCCACTGTATTGCATGAGATTGTCACAAAACGATTAAATTATGGGAAATTATGTTCCCGTTGGGTTCCAAAAATATTTACGGATGTTCACAAAACGAAGCGACTTGGAAGTGCTTTGACATTTTTTACTCGATACAATGATGAAGAAGATGTCACTCCAGAATCCAAACACTCAGGATCCTTCAAAAAACAAAAATTAAAGACAACTTTGTCGTCACTGGCGGCGTCTTTCCATGAAGAGGGCATAGAAAAGTTGGTTTTCCGCTACAAGTGTCTGAACAATGGTAGCAACTAAATAGAAAAATAGTTTAAGTAAGACATGCTCTTACATGTATAAACAAATTTTGTTTTGAAATAATGTTTTTATGTTTTTTTTGTTTCAAAACAGTACTTATTTTCCAGACACCTCTCGTATAAGATGAAAATCTCAGTAGAAACAACGCAGTCCCTAACAATAACCAAAGAACCAAGAAGGCGTAAACTTGCAATTTACAATTGTACCATAAATCAGGTCATGCGATTGAAATATCTCGGAGTATACATCATTACTAATCATTAGCAATAGAGACTTGAAAGAAGAAGTCAGAACACACTTCTCTTTGCTAATTGTAAGCCGCACAAGACATGAAGAGACTAGGAAAATATGTGGGTTGCAGGACATAGTCAGATGGGCGCGCGGCAAACGGAGAAAATGGAAAAACCACGTTGGGAAAATTCCAACACACAGATTACTGAAAATAACCAGAAAGCGAAACCTCCTGGACATTCTCGAAGAGCATCTCAATCGAGGTTCTGAATTGATGAAGAAAGACATAGCTGAGCCCTATTTTATAGAAGGAAGAAGAAGAAAAAGTGTATAATACAAAATCTTTAACAACGTTTTGCGTTACATCTTAAACAAAAGTTGCACGAACACACCAGTGTGTTGTTTGAGATTTGAGAAATTAAATCTAAAATCAAGATGGTTGAGGAAATATCACCACTTGTTATCTAATCAAATTTCAACACCATTTTGATTATAAGAATATTACAATCGAATCTTTTTGGACCATTTTTGAACAGATACCAGATATATGTTATTGTTGAAAATTTGAATTTTGAAATACCCCACTGTGCCGCTTTTTGTGTTTATGTTTTAGTGTTTGTATGTACCAGAATAAGGCATTAAATAGCTGTTTAGTACGAAACTTTGAAATAAGTTTCAGAAAATCCTCAACTTAGCGCTACAACTCTAGAAACCTCGATTTTTTCGCATACGCTGACAAAGTAATGAAAGAAATTGTTATGAAAATAAAAGAATATTTAATAAATAATACATTTAATATACAATTCATTCCAATCAATGACCGGAAAACTGTACTTTCCTATATCTGATTTGCGACTTAATTATATCCTTTTCTACTTACGAAATACAATTAGATTAGATTTACTTTATATAGATTAGATATTAAAGTTTTTAATAATATCTTACATTTTCCTATTTTTGAAATACAAAATAGTCCATTATTTTAAATGGAATAAAACGGTCAATACATAAAATGAATTATCGAGACGTCTTAATTACCATCCACAGTTGATGATATTATGTATAAAAGTCACGCCGCGACAGTCTCCACCAAGAGAGATACAAGTTTCTTGTCCATCGGAGTGTGACGGCGGTGAACCTCTTCGTCCTATTGCGTGATCCAGAAAAGATAAACGCAGCAATTATCTTAATCGAACGTGATTTATTCGGGGGCATTTCGACCGTATAAGGGCGGAATCCGATAATTGTTTCTTCGCTTGCGAATTCTACTACCTTCGACATCCTTATCCGGCGTCGCCTCCGTCCAATTTCGGTATGCAAATGGGCTCACATCCTCGATGAAACCGAGCCGTATTGAAGATAATGATACACGGGTAATGTTTGCGTGGTAATAAAGATCTTGTTCTTTTTTTAAAACAATCCTTTTTTAGACGTTTTTTTACGTCACAATTATTTGACATTCTTTCATCAACCAAACTGCATAATTCTATCGATAGAAATGTTCGCTTTAGTTTGTTTGTTATTTCTATTTAACTCTGTTTATGGACTTTACGAAAAGGCGGATGTGGTCCACTTGAATGTGGATAATTTTGATAGATTGGTGACGGGTGGTGCGGATACGTGGGTGGTTCAATTTTACTCGCCTTACTGTCCTTATTGTCAAGAATTTGCGCCGAGTTTCGAAAAGGCCGCTACTATCCTGAAAGGATCTCATGTTAAAGTCGGAGTGGTCGACGCCGACGAGGACAAGACTCTTTTGCGACGTTACGAGATAAAAGGTATACCCAACGTGAAGATATACCATCCGAAGAATCCTGTACCCGAGACTTACACCGGCCCAAGAACAACGGATGCTTTGGTACAAAAAGTAACAGCACTCAAAAAGGGTAGAAAAGCCAACAAAGGTGAGATAGAAGACAGTAATGATGTCGATAATATTGACGATGATGAAGAACTTAAACCAACAGAACCAATAACAAAAATTAAGCTTTGAAAATATTTTTATAATTAACTATTTTTTATTTTTACAATTTGTGTGTAGAGTATTTTTAATAAACTATATATACAACTGATTGAGGTGTCGTTCAGAATGAAAATAGCAATCGGTCTGTGTGCTTGCGTAATTCATTCCGCGAAAGAGAGATCGAAACGGAATGGAGTCGGGAGGAGATCATGAATGAATTCCGAAGTGTAATTTGGGCGTAACGGATTGCTCGACGCCCGTACGGTCTTAATTTAAATCTGCCGACCAGACGGAGACGGTGATTTCAAGGAGCTAATTGCTATGCTAAGTGCGCGACAGTCAGGTATGTCTGGCGCCAAACAGTCGCTTGTGAACAATAAGCGGCAACAAAACGTGACAGAAAATACCATCCCGGTTCTGGTTCTATCTCTATTTGTAAATCCCACGTTCATTATTAGAACTTTTTATTTAATTTTTGAAACTAATTAACAGACAAATAAAATTAAATAATCAGTTTTTTTTTTTTTTTAATTATTTAGTTATAATTAATTAATAAATCAATCATAAATCAAATCTTACAAAGAAATCTTTGATTTCAAAGTATTCTTATTAAAATTTATTAAAAAATTGGTATTGATGTGCCATCTATAAAGGGGACTACAATCAACTTTCTTAACTAAACTGAGTTGTCTACTATTTGAATTACCTCTTCTATTGAAAGGTAGATGGCGCTGAGTTCCAAATATTTAAAGAGAATTCTACATTTCGAACTATATTTTGATATTAATTTAGCAAAATAAATAGAGACGGGGTTATTATTGGTTAAAAATTTAAAATGCAATGCATGTTATTAGAAATGCAATAACTTAATAGTTATTGTGTTAATGTGTAAGGTATTTAAAGCTGTGGCTATCGCCTTATAGATGGCGGATTTTAAAATTAAACAAGTCATGGAAATTTAGTAATTAATTTAGTATTAATTGAGGCTGTGTATAAGTATATAGAGGTTATGCCATTAATCATTGAGTAAATTAAAAAAAATTTGTGACAATATTTGTTCAGAATTAATTCAGTAACAACTTTTCTTAATAAAATTTTCTTCTAACTAGAAATTTTAATTTCCCACTGAACAGTATGCCACAGTAATGCCACTTAATGAACAGAATGTTAATTAATTATCGTACTCGACGTCATCATTGTAAGTATGCAACCAATATCACAGTATTGGTATTGCAATACTCGATTTGCGTATGATGCGTATTCCACTGTGATGTTGGTTGCATACTTGCAATGATAACGTCGGACATGATAATTATTTAACACTCTGTATATCATTCCATATCATTTTTATCGAAAAATCTCATAAACGTCATACGTCGCTACTGGAATCGTGCTCCTCAAACTAAATTGGGAGATTATCATTGAAGCCCAGGGGTCCAAAATTTCTTTGAACTCAAACGTACTGAAAACATTTAAATTTTAGGAGAATATTTTTTCATAAAATCAAAAATCCTTCAAATAAATCTTGATCCACATCAACAGCAATGAGTGTTACATTAAAGTAAGGACACCAACCTTATTAAATATAATTGGTCTGAAAGAGGAGCTGCTCTATAAACTCATATGAATCGTGCCATGCCAGACCATTATAAACTTATTGACACCATGCTATACGACAGAGACTCCAGATCAGTTTTAATAACATAAGTACCGTTGCGACATCTGCGAAAATCCGAACTCGCAATAACATCATACAAAAACTCTGCGTCTCTACATGGGGTGCTACAGCAACCACGTTGCGATGTTCTACCCTGATGAGAACAATATCAGGATGTCTTAAATCCACTGATTCCCAACGCTAAGCAATATCGCTCTGCCAAACCTGCGAAGAAAGAATGCTCCCCTAAAACAGTTCAAGAAAATAACTGACAACCACCCACTGCTGCCGATTCATGAGGACCTACCTTATCTTGATATGAATCTTCTTAGATTCCGACACTCTCGATATTTTAGTGGGAAAACAATTGCAACCCCAAAGCAGCATTTGGACTTCCCTACCACCTATGGAAAGGTCTCAACAGAGTCCGTAAAATCCACTCCACTTCACTGACTCCCAACGCTAAGCAATATTGTCCTGCCAAACCTGCGAAGAAAGAATGCTCTTCTCAAAAAATTCAAGAAAATAACTGAAAACCCAGTACTGCCGGTTCTAGATTCTGGATTCGCGGGAAGGCAGACTGCACCGCCCGCAGCACTTTCACTTCAGCAGATCCCTTGTACTTACTTCCCTCTTTTGGTCAGCATTAGGGTCCTTCCAGCTGATTCCACTCATGCGAATCTGGATATCTCCAAAAATGGATAACCTTAATGTTTGGAGGGCCAGGCAGTCGCATAGAAGGTGTTCCGCCGATTCCTCCTCCTCGCCGCATCCTCTGCAGATGTCGTTGTCACTTATTCCCATGTTCAGTAAGTGCTTCTGTAGATGCCAGCGATTAGACCTATGACCAAACGTAGGTTCTTCCTGGATAGCCTCATAAATAAATCTGTTCGTTTAGGGTCAGGGTACATCAGAGCATCCTTGGCTAGGCGACATCCTGGTGTCCTGACCCAGTAAGTTAGAAACTTTTTACGTGTTTCCTCTTTTTGAAGCTCTATTAAAGACCTTATTGTTGGGGCGAGGAATGATTCTGGTGATCCCGGAGGTTTGCCTACAGCTTTCCTTGCCAGTTTGGCCACCATGTCATGAAGCTTATTTCCCGAATGACCCTTTGTCCAGCAGATCGTAATCTCATTGCTAGCGGCTGCCTCACAAAGGTTGTTATGGCACTCCTCAAACAACGAGGATGAACAGCGATACAATCAGAATATATTAGAATTTTTTTGCCAGTTTCCCTACGAGTTCCATCCACCCATAATTGGAGGACAGTTTCGTCAGGCATGGGTTGTTCTCCAACCTTTATTTCATACGGTCGTTCGAAGATAAAACGCTTTGGAATCGTATCTGCCCTGCCATTCATGAGTGGCTGTTTGCTACATGCCTCCTCCCATAGCTGGCTAGTCGATTTTCCATATTTATAAAGCCATTTATCGTTAGCCGCTCGCAGCCGGATCATTGTTGCTATTACTGCCTCCTCAACGTGATAATTGAGAGGAGGAAGGCACAGTACATTCTCCATTGCTGCTGTTGGTGTGGTTATCATTGAGCCTGTAACGTAGAGAGCCAGACGTTATAATTTTTGCAGTTGCAAAATAATCGTTTTATTTCTAATTCTTGGCCACCAGTTTACGGCGCTGTAAGTTAACATTGAACGTATCACTTTTGGATGTTAAACCCCAGGAGGTCCCAACGACCCTTCTGCACCATTCTGCACTGAGCGAACGCAATGCGTGCCTTATTTATCTTACCTTCGATGTGCGGTCTCCAAGTCAGCGTTTTATCCAGGGTTAACCCCAGATACTTCACTTCATTGGCAAAGCGCAAGGAAACTTTGCAAAGCCAGGGCGCTCTAAGGGTACCCAGTATTCTTTTCCTTGTGAAGAGGACCATCTCTGTTTTTTCGGGTTTACCGACAGAAAATGGTCTCGACACCAGGGTTCGATTATTCTCAGTTCAGCCTGCATTCGGTCACATAGGATGTTTTCGAACTTCCCGTGCACCAAAACGGCTAGATCGTCTGCATAAGAGCAGACACTGAAATTTTTCAGCTGAGAGTTGTCTTACAAGGTTGTCCAGGGTGAGATTTGCCGACATTTGCCAGTTCATGAGGACTTACCTTATCTTGATATGAATCGTCGCAGCTCCAAACATCCTCAATTAAATCTTGCAACTCTAAATAGGAGAAATGACTGGAACCCCAGAGCACCACCTATGGGAATTTAAAGTTTCCCACCACCTATAGAAAGGTCTCAAGAGAGTTCGTACGAGACGTGGAGTCTGTGGTGATATCTTCCACTATGGCTTCCTTATGGCCATAGTCTCAGCACAGAATAACTAGAAGTGACACTGGCGGTATTCTTTCAAATCTGACACCAAATTGCTGCGAGGAAGCAAGGTATTGCTGTTATTGGTGGTAAAGATTTGGCGGGATATCGCCAGTGTCTTTTCTGGTTATTCTGTGCCTTAAAGGCACTGCCTTTGGTAACTCACGATAAGATGGCGTATTTTAAATCGAGGTCACAAAACGAGGTGCCGCCAACATCAAACGAATGGACGTCAATGTCATTTATGGTTATTCTGTGGTTTCAGTATGACTACGGAGCTTCAAAACAATCTATCCAGCACATTGTGGAAGAGTACCCTGTTAGATCTTATTCTAATGTTGTGAGGGACTTCTTTGATGCTAAACCCGCAGCTCTGGAATGGTTAGCCAAATTGGATATAAAATTTTAGATTTTGGTTGTGCCTCCTACTGGTTTATGTATTTGCATATTTTATGTATTCGTTGTTTGTAACATTTATTGTATTGTGTGTCTTATGTATGTCATACGCTAAATAAATAAATAATAATTCTCTCCCGACGTGATTGGCGTTTGTAAAAAAAACTAATCTCACCCAACACTTTTTACCTGGAGGTCATTGACCTTGGTAAACAAAACTAACCTTACTCAACATTCTTTTCCGAGTTGATTGATGTTTGCAAACAAAATTAATCTTACCCAATATTTCTTACCTTGGGGGGTCATTGACCTTGATAAGCAAAACTAATCTTTCCCAACATTGTTTAGTATTCTTTTGAGATCCTTTTTTTAATTTTGACTTTTAGAAAGGCTTCAAAAACCAAATTCAAATTTTACCAATTTTGTAAGAAGTATTTGAGATTTGACTATTCCAGGAAAAGATTATCTATGTTATCATGCCCAATTAGATATAATAATTTATATGGAAAACATACTGGATTGAAAAACATTAAAAAGAACTGTTCATTTACACATTCCAGAAAGTATTTTTTTATTTTTGTTGATGCTAGAAGACGGGCAATTAAAAAGACGGTACATCTGAGTTAAATCAAGATTGTATTGTAACAGATCTACCAACAGCAAGGATCTCTAAATCATTAATGCAAGCGAATACAAAGCTCTAGATTAAAACCAAAAGATCAATTTATGTAAATGATGTAAATCATAAATAATAAAACTAATTCTTATCTTTCTGTTGTGTTCTGTCATGCAGATAGGATAGAATTGGAGCAATACTTTTGTCAACCAAATCCTAAACATTGCGATGTTAGGCCAAAAAGATGGGATAAGATTCTGTTTAGAATGCACCAAACAAGTTATAATTTGCTAAATGCAATTTTAACCTGGCTACCCCAAATTTATAGAGATTTACTTTATGAAACATGAAATGTGATGTGGAAAAATAAAAATTCATTTGATTTATACCCAATTTGTATATTTTTATACATAATTCTATTACAAAATTAATTTGTTAGACTATAATATCACATTTCTGATGTGGATATTACAACCCACCAATATTTTACGTTAACCGTAAATCACAATTACCTAACTAGACAAAATAAGATGAAAATTTTTTAAAATGAAAACAAAAAAAGAAAACAATCCTTAAAAACAATAAGTAACGATTAAAACGATATTCCAACAAAAATGAACGATCATTATAAATAATGAATGAACATAAGAAAAACAAAAAAATTAAAATATCAACTAATTAAGATTTTTTTTATTAAGACCTTTTTAGATTAAGTTTGATTAGGCACATTTAAGTCATTGCTCTTGGTATGTGGATTATACCAATTAATTGGCAAGTAAGAAATATAATAAATTCATTGAAAAAGATTCAAAAAGAAAAATTATTCAAAATTAAATAATTGAATTGTCATTCAAAATTAAGATTATCCTTTTTTTTTAAATATAAAATTAAATCATCTTATTCTCGTGTAATTTTTAATTAGTAATTTAAAACAATTACCACGTAAAAATTAAACGATACAAGGTAAATTCGAGAGTGTCCTCATTATGTTTTATGGAATGTGCCATGTATTCATTCGAGTTGTTGACACAGCAGAATTCATGGATGGTCAATTTCAAATTAATTGCGAATAATTTGATTATACATATAAGTAAACATTTTTCGATTGGAACACATATATGTCTTTTCATTTCTCATTCGGAGGAAACTTAACAAGTAATAGCTAATACTTTTGGAATTCACAGCCTGTGCATAGATAGTTGATTTCAGTACAGATCGTCACCAGTTTCCATATTTTTCAACAAATTTTTCTTTTCATCACTCGCCTTTTTTGCTTTCCTCAATTGTGGTGGTTCAAAACAAGGCTAAAAAATATTTTAATCAATTATTTTTTATTATTTTATTATTAATTTTTAACTTACCGTTTCACAAACGTTCATATTACAACAATTTTCAATGGTAATTTCGCATTGATCGATGGACGCTTGAGGTCTATTTGTTAAAGGCGTAACGTTCTTATTCACTATAATCCTTTTATTAATTCTCGGACGTCTCTTTTTGGCTTTTTGGAATAAAACCACCAAAGCGACGACGATTATCGAAACGATCAACATACAAATGCACAGGATTAAAAACGGCGGATTACTTAAATAATCAGATATCGTAAGTTGTACTCGATTTTTGTCATCGACGTATTCTTCGCTGGATGTTCGTGTTTGCATTTCACAACTAAAAAAAAACAAAAAGATATCTTAAGTATTAAAGTTAAATTAAGAAAGTAATAAAACGAACAAAAATTTTCAAAATGTATTTGCGAAATAATTATTATCACATTGAAAAAGACTTTTGAAATCGTTCCTTTTTATCTAACACTTTAAGCCATGACTCATAGATAACTAAATCGTTTTAAGATAATTTTTGGGATGATCATCTTTTAATAATCTTTGATAAAACTTATCGTGATTGGAATTCTGTTTGGAATTACATAACTGTTTAATCCAAAAATGTTGATTATTTTTATGATTAATTACGGATATGAGATGTTATAAATAATCGTGAGATTTTATGTTGTATCTCTTGCTTAGAGTTGGCCTAAATAGATAAACAAGTCTAGATCCACTCTTCAACATCCAAATCGTTTCCTTGATAACTTGATAACTATAAGATGACAACAAACATAGTGGATAAAATGGGAAATGATTTTAATTTGGGTTCATTCACTTCCACTACTGCATTACAAATCCATTCAGATAACGACTAATTAATTTAACAAAAACACGTTTCGTGACGGTAAAATGTTCATTAATCTTGAAATATTAAATATATGTAACAAAAGAAGCTAATAGGAAGGTTTTAAATGTATAACGACGATAAATTTGACTAACTTAGAACGCAAAATGCATTTTAAATTTCCTTTTATTAGCAATTCAATAACTGAAGAATTCAAATTTTTCAGCAAAGCTGGAAATCCAATTATATATCTAGTGTCAGTACTACTACTATATCTAATAGTTGTTGGTAATGTCAGCTACTGTGTCTCAGATGTTTTGTATTGTATTGCAAATTCTGCCAACTTGTTGGCAGTATGAGCTATTGCATCCGGAAGCTTACAACATCTATTAAGAAGTCTACCAATTTGTTGGCAGCATAAACTCCTACATCTCAAAGCTGTAACTTCTCTTATAGGCTACCAACTTGTCAGCAGCGTGAGCTTTTACGTCCCAAAACTTCTGTACTGTACCACAGAATCTGCCAACTTGTTGGCAACATGAGCTATTGTGTCTCAGAAGTTCTATACTGTATTGTACAGGGTGTCCAAATTTCGATGGGTTTGCAGGGTATCTGAATTATTATGAAGGATAGAAAGTTGCGGCTTTCGCGAACCTGAGCTACTTTTTTGTGAAACTTACATTGGCGCAAACCAAATTCAAAAATCATAGCCCTCTTCGATTTTGATATACAGGGAGTGTTTGAAATTTACGATTTTCAGACACCTCCTGTATCTCGGCTGTCCGGAAACTTAGTAAGAAAGTAAAAACAGGTTCTAATAGATTTTTTTCAGGTGGAATCCAATGGTGCACGTAGAATTTTTCTGGTCATCGCGGTTTTTGAGTTATAAACACAACTCAAATACTGAGCACTCAACTTCTAAAATACTCAGCTCTTTATAACTCAAAAACCGTGATGACTAGAAAAATTCGGCGTGCACCATTGGATTCTACGTGAGAAAATCTATTAGAACCCCTTTTTACGTTTACGGATAGCCGCAACTTTCTATCTTTCATAATAAGTGAGGTACCCTGCAAACCCATCGAAATTTGGACACCCTGTACAGTCTGCCAACTTGTTAACAGCATGAGCTACTACATCTGGAAGCTTGTAACCTCCTCTATACGTTGACAACTTGTACCAACCCAACCCAACTTGTCACCAGCATGAGCTTTTGCGTCTCAAATCTTCTGTACTGTACCACAGAATCTGCCAACTTGTTGGCAACATGAGCTATTGTGTCTCAGAAGTTCTATACTGTATTGTACAGGGTGTCCAAATTTCGATGGGTTTGCAGGGTATCTGAGTTATTATGAAAGATAGACAATTGCGGCTTTCGCGAACCTGAGCTACTTTTTTGTGAAACTTACAANTTAGATCGATTAAAAACCCCGAACGAGCCGAATTTTGCGAAAGTTTGAAGAAAATCGATTTTCCCGGAAAATAAGAAATGGTTAGGAAAATTTTCTTTTCGAATCTGAAACAAGAGGCGACCATGAATACGATGCCGTTGAAATTAGATCGATTGAATACCCCGATCACGCATTTTTTTCAGTTTAAAATCTATGGCTGAAATCTATGGCCAACTTCACACGCGTTTTTTCACGTGGAATCCAATGGTGCATGTAGAATTTTTCTAGTCATCACGGTTTTTGAGTTATAAACACAACTCAAATACTGAATACTCAACTTCTAAAATACTCAGCTCTTTATAACTCAAAAACCGTGATGACTAGAAAAATTCTACGTGTACCATTGGATTCTACGTGAAAAAATCTATTAGAACCCGTTTTTACGTTTACGGATAGCCGCAACTTTCTATCTTTCATAATAAGTGAGACCCATCGAAATTTGGACACCCTGTACAGTCTGCCAACTTGTTAACAGCATGAGCTACTACATCTGGAAGCTTGTAACCTCCTCTATATGCTGACAACTTGTCCCAACCCAACCCAACTTGTCACCAGCATGAGCTTTTCCGTCTCAAAACTTCTGTACTGTACCACAGAATCTGCCAACTTGTTAACAGCATGAGCTACTACAGCTGGAAACTTGTAACCTCCTCTATACGCTGACAACTGGTTGGCAGCATGAGCTATTATATCTCAGAACTTCTGTTATATATTGTAAAGCCTCCCAACTTGTTGACAGCATATTGTGTCTCAGAGGTTCTGTACTGTATTGTACAGTCTACCAACTTGTTGGCACCAAAAGCTACTACATCTAGAAGCTTCTAACTCCCCCTATACGCTGATTACTTGTTGGAAGCATGAGTTATTGTGTGTCAGAATTTTTGTACTGTATTGTAGAGTCTGCCAACGTGTTGGCAGCATGAGCTGTTGAATCTTAGAATCTCTGTACTGTATTATAGAACCTGCCAACCTGTTGGCAGCATGAGTTACCTTATCTGGAAGCTTGTAACTTTGCCGATATGCTACCAATGATACCACGATCTATTGTATCTCAATGTTCTATATCATCAGGAGATTGGACTGACGGACGTGGAACGTTTTGCCTTGCATAAAACTGGTGGTAGTAAAAAGTGAAGAAAAAAGTGGTATTTGATGAATCTAATATAATACAAAGGAATCCACACAAATCCAGACAACATTTTGATACCGACAAAATTATGAGTATTTCATCAGAATGTATCAAAATCCATTTCAACAAGTGACATAGATATGAATCCAAATATGCCCGAATAACTGGTATAATAAAGAATTTTAAGCTACAGTACAAAACTAACACTGGATAAATAGCGGAAAAAGACACAAATAAAATAATTATAATTGCTCATTAGCAAATATGAGTTTCAGGTTGATATTATAATAATTACTAAGCCTCAGCTGCAAACGACCTCCGCTTAATTAGTCGAAAGATGTACAATATCACCTAATAAAACCTAAACCACTTGCGGTTGCAGAAAATCGCTCGTAAACCGGTTCATCAAGTTAAGAAGATTAAGAGAGGTACGACATGTATTTCGCATAGAGAAAAACAAACTGGACCACGAAAATCTGTTATGATTAAACGATGTTATGGCTCACACTATATAATTCCAAATTTATATGTATAATAGAGTCAATAACCCAGTGTGTTGCTGTGTAATTCTTCAACATAAATAAACTTGTTTATAACATTTTGTTTAAGAAACTTTTCATTATTATTTTGTTAAAGCAAATTAATTGATGTGATTCAAAGATTCGTCATTCTAAGAATTAAGAAACAAATTGAACCAATGTAAAGATTTCTTGAATACTTACTTGCAAGTTATATTTTTGTTAAAATCATTAGCTGCCATTGGATTTGCACAATAAATTGTACACAAAGCTAGGACATTAACATTAATTTCACATTGTTCTCCAATATAACCATCCGGACATCGACATTTTGGTTCCAATCCATTATGACTACATTTTCCTCCATTTAAGCAATGATTATGACACAAATCGTATTCGCAACGGTTTCCATTAAACCCAGAATTACAAAGACATATTGGATACCCATGTAAGGTTAGATCACAAGTTCCATGAACACAATAATTATAACAAAGTGAAATTTCACAATTTGGACCTTTAAAACCTTTCGGACAAGAACACCCATTTTTCTCGGTTAATTCGCCGTTATTTAAACAAACGGTTTGAAGTAGTGTTTCCTGTTCTTCTTCGTTTATGAATTTAATTATTTCTTGAGTTGATTGATTGTATTCGTTAATGGCTTCTTCGATTTTCGAGCAATCTGGAGCTCCCATAAATCCTAAATGTTTTGCAATCAAACCGAACGGTTTTTCTTTAAATCCTCTGACTTTGTTGGGATGTTCTTCGTTATCTTTTCGAATTTTCCATAAAGCGTTGTTATTAACGTCCGTCCAATAAACTGATTCTTCATCCACGGCGAGTCCAAACGGTTTTTGATGCGTTTCTTGTAACATTAATTCTCTTTTATTTCCCTCTAAATCGGAACTTTCAATTTTAAAATAAATCCCTTCGCCCATATCGGACCAATACAATCTTTTCTTTACATAATCTATAGCTATCCCAACCGGCATATTCAAATCGGTTTCAATTAAAATCTCATGGCCACTTCCATCTAATTTCGCTCGATCGATCGTTGGTTTATCCAAATTCGAATTAGTCCAATAAATATAGCTTCTACAACTATCGATCGCTAAGTCTTGAGGAGATTCATCAACGAAAGTCATAAAAACACCAAAATCGTTTGGATCCGCTAACGATATGTAATTTATGGTTTTATTGAACGGGTTTGACCAATATAAGATGTCGTTTAACGGATCAATAGCTAATCCTTGGATGTCGTCGGCTAAATTTTGGATGATTGGGGAATTTTTCGTTACTTCCTGAGTTAAGGATATCGTGTATATCGTGTCATTGAATTCGTTCATGTCGCTAACGATGAATTGATGTCTGATATTGTCGAAGGTAAGTGCCTTTAATTTTGTGAAGGCAACAGTTGTACCAACCAGCGTTCCGTTGGATGTTAATAATTCGATTTGACCTTCAATTGCTACTGCTAAATCTAGAAAAAAATAGAAAGATATCGGTTAATTAAAGTGATTAAAAAATGTTAATTAAATCAATGTTATTATTAAGTGTAAAAAAATAATTTTGCAAACTTTTTTATATTTCAATAACTTCATTGTGCTTTGTTAAAGTTTATATATATGTGATATTGTTAGGTTAGTATGGTTGATATGAAAGTTATACAAGTAGTTGCGATAAAAGCCAAATTTGCAAAGTTCCTTTGATGCAACAGGACTCCTTGGATGGCGTACGTGATCGAAGTCACGTAGCCGAGGATTGCAAATCGATTTGATACCAAAGCACAACAGGCACTAGTTGGCGTCAAATTGCTTAAATAACAACGATTGCGTCGCCAAAAAGGAAAGAATTAACGCTGACTAGACGTCCGTCTACATCGTCAGGATGTTAAAGTAAGCTTTTTATCGCTCAATAAACATTGTTTATTACTATTTGGTAGACATCAAAGAAAATTTATAAATCCTTTGTAATATAATATCAATTGGTGTATTTCCAAGATTGGTTTTTAAATAAATTTCGATTTAAATGAATTTAAGTAAACATGAATTTATTGCAAAATATTGTTGTTATCATGAATGGCGTTCCATTTAACCCAAAAATAATTAAAAAACAAATTTAACGATAAAAAAGTCTGTTGATTAAAATTTATTTATTCAAAACACATCAAAAAAACATTCATAAAGTTCAATTTACCAATCAAGGCGAAGTCAATGAACATGATCTAGATTTCAGTTCATTCGTCCTTCTTTATTTCCTTATATCCGATTAGAAAAAAAATCAATCAATCACGTTACACATATTCCTTTAACGGGAAGTTGATTATTTCACTCGACATTGCGGACAATAACAGGGCCGAAGGTGACGGTCAAGATCACTATGCCATATCAGAACTTTCAACGGGTATTTCCCGTATTGTGATAATACCATAAATTATAATATCGATTCGCAAACGGAAAAGAAAAAAAGTGGTACGATAACGGTTTTATCTTAATGTAGTGAATGACATAAAACGAATTTGCGAGATTATTTTTTTGCTCATTTCATGATGTAATTTGAAAGTTGTATTTAATGACGATCGTCACGTAAATACAATATACTCATCTTGTTTAACAGTATTATCTTGCACGTAGAGATTACAATTTTTTTATTTATGGGTATAAAAAATGATGAAAAATAATCATATGATTGTATTTTTGAGTGTAAAAAAATACATATAGATAGAATTATTGTTTTGTAAACGGAAATGATGAAAAAAATTTTGGTTCAAAATCACGACGTGGATCAAAGTAGAAGCTAAATGATTATAGCAAAAGTAATTTAAAAGTTCAACCGTACGACATCTAATTGGGTGTGTAACATGTTAAGCTCACTTTGAGCTATCTTGACTGCTTCAATATTGGATCAGCAAATATTAAGGGAATTTTTTATTTATACTTGTGTCACATATTGCTCTTGATAAAAGCAAATTCTCCATTTTGAAAACCGGAGAATTAAGAGGCGAGATACATTTAGAACCGTAAACAACCTCAAAAACTATTACTTTATAAAAATGATCTTGTTAAAAATGTTTAACGCCAAAATTTTAAAGTACTTTGTTGCGTCCTTTGTTATGTCCCATAAATCATTATCATCAAGAGATCAGATTTTCAAAATATTTTCTTGATCGATAAAGTGCAGTTTGATATTCTTTTTCGCTATGTTAAGTGCAGTCGTTAATGTAAAGACGTCATGAAATTGAGAAAGATATAAAAAGAATTTTTAGGTCCAAGCTCGTTTTGCTTGTTTTGTGATCGACATAAAAACATAATTATTAAATAATATTGGCAGATTAAATAAATGATTATATAAATTGGACAAGACACGAATAACATTTATTCTATAATTTTATGGATATGTGACTTAGATTGTGTCACACTGTATGTACCTATACAATAATATCAATATTCAATCATAAATGTTGTTTGACTTTATCACTAAGAAAACTATTGAAAAATCGTCATGTTTGCGTAGAAGTGTTGAATAAGACTTTATATAAATCCAGATTGTTTAAATTTGAAGAAGTTGACCAATACTTCGTAAGAAACCTTTCTTACAATAATACTACAAGAAAAATTATCAATTTCAAATTCATCACAAATTACCAAGAGAAACAGATACAAACAATAATTCTTACACAACAATAGTTGTAGCTTCTTTAAAAATGCGCTTAAGTGAGTGATCCATAAAGTTTTATTTTAGACACCAAAAATTCTTTCAATTTTTTGCTCGGTTTCCATAAACTATTTATCATCTAAAAGATCTTCGATAATCTATCTTCTTTATCCTATTTTTTCGCAAGAACGTAAATAAACGACGGGGGATAGAGAATAGAATCTCAATCATGGACAAAGGAAATGAAACGTTGAAAAATACATATTGAGATTATTAATTATAACCTGGCATCTCTCTTGGAGAAAAGACTAAGATGTATCAGAATAACGAAAAATAACAAACTGGAAATTTCTCCTAAATTTTTGTCACAAAAAGACATTAATTCCCTATAGTTCGAATATCAAAAGGAGCATATACTTTGATATCAAATGTATCAAATAAAAGTAAAGCTGTAAAAGTACTTCTCACTATGCATGATAAAGGTGCTGTAGATGAAGATACTTAATTTAGTTCACATATCATAAAAAAGTAGGCGTTGGTAGAATTCTACAGTCTCTTAGACATAGCAAGTATTTCCTTCTTTTTTTACTTTCAGATGAATGTTAAACTCCAGCTTTCATTCCATTGTATAGGAGGTCTTTCAGGGAGTATGTTTGCTCTTGGAGTCCATCTTTGGCTACCATTGGTAGTCTTGAAACTGCCATACGTTTATAACATAGCCCCTCCATTCTGGTTTATTTTGCGAATCCATCTTACAATGTCCTGGATGTCGTTTATCTCTCTGATGTCCTTGTCTTTTTTATTCCCACAAGGTGTATCCTGTTAATGATCTTACCGTCTCCATTTCCGCTGTTCTGACAATTCTTGTTGTGGTAGAGTTTTCTGCTTCTTTCATTGTTTGAGCTACAATTTATTTTTGAGGTTCCTACTGCTCGTAATATCGACGTCAAGATATTTAAAACCCATCACCTGTTCCGGGGAGCAGAAGTTTCTTCTCCGACAATCTTTATAAATAGCTTCAGTATCCAGCTTATTCCACGGTAATTCTTAGAATCATTTTTGCATCCCTTTTGAATCCTGGTATTGTTATGCTTTCTTTCCATTTAGTTAGCATACTCTTTGGCGTACATTTTCATCTTTTTAATTTAATGGTTGTCTATTTTATTCTTTCTGCGGATATTAACCGCAGTTGATGTGTGATTTAGGGAATATGCTCTGTATTTGGTCTCTCGCTAGTGTTTTCGGCACAGCAGTAGAGTTTACAACACTTTTGTAAACTTACCAGTCCTTCAGTGCAGCTTTTGTAAGCTTCACATGTTCATTGGCAATTTTTTTTCTGTTTCTAAGCATGTTGCAAATTTTTGTTTGCCTGCAGCAATGAGCTCTTTTGATGTACTGGACTGAGATGAGTACTGTAGATGTGCTTATCGTTTTTATTTGCTAATATTTTAATTTTTGGTTGCATACCATGGTTTTGTATTTAATCTATTACCTATGTTTGTGCATCTTCTTCTTACGGCTTCCTCGGCCGTATTTATAATGTTATATTTTAATTTGTGCCAAGATATATCTACCGGGAATTTCATATAACTCGCAATATATGAATGCAGTATGTCCTACATAAATGCAACATAGCTTAATAGTACAGGCAAAGGGTAGTTTTGCATGGAAAAAGGTAACGTCCTTATGACAACCTTGAGTTTTCGGCCGTCTTAAGAGATGCACGGCTAAACGCGAGTGTTTCTAATTCTAGGTCTCGTATTAGTTCTACTTTTCGTTCTATAAAAATATACCACAATCTAATGCTGAATAACAATTAAATTAGAACTAACACTAGAACTAGAAACATTCGGATTTAGCCGCACGTCTCTCAGGACGGCTAGTTTTACACTATCACTAGAACTAACACAAGACCTAGAACTGGAATCATTCGGGTTTAGCCGTGCGTCTGAAGACGACACTTTCTAGATCTAGGTCTAGTGTTAGTTCTAGTTTTAATTCAATAAAAATATGCAACACAATGATATCTAATGCTAACTAACACTACTTAGCACTGTCACTAGAACTAACATTTGTCCTGGAACTAGAAACATTCAGGTTTAGAAGTCTTAAGAGACGCATAGCTAAACCCGAATGGTTTTGGTTCTAAATATATTTTTGTATATTGCATCTTAAGTGAAATTCACTGTGTATTGTCATTATATGAATCTGATTTGCATGTTTTTTTTCTAAGCCTGATTCTACATTGATCTTGTTCGTCTTTCCAACCACCAATCTTCTTGTATGTTGTATTTTGCTTGTTATTTTCACCATTACGAAGTTGCGATTTGCTGGTAGCAGCACAATAATATGCAGAATTCTAGTACTGATTTTTGGCCTTGCGTATTTTAAAAGGTGAATTTGGTGGATTGTGAAGGAAATAATTTGAATTTAAATTATTGAACCTGACCTCATTACGAATCGTCAATAGAAATGATTTAAAAAAAGCAAATACAGACAATATTTTTCAAGTTAGATGCTATAACGGCGACTATGTTACTATAACTGAATTACTCATCATGGTTGACCTATTTTAAATGGGGAAAAGGGTCACTTTAAATTGGCGAAGTATTTTTAGCAACAAATTGTAAACAAAACAAGCAATTTTATAGATTCAAATACCACAGATTTTTAACAATATACAATTTTTCTTTTTGTAAAATTCTTTAAATCAGGAAATGACTCTTTAAATATTTCCTGTCTACTATTTTCATTCTTTCTTACAATTCAAATTAATTCCCAAAAATTTAAATAAAAATTATAGTTTTTTATTTCGTTTTGTAGATATTTCATTTAATTTATTTTTGGGTCAATTTTAGTGTGCTTTTTTAGTCACGCGACATTTATGCCCCACATTTAAGGAAATAGTATCGATTGTAGGAGTATACAAAGGCTAGTAAACTCTTAATAACGCATTGTTGTTATTGCTAAAACGATTATAATGGTTTTACGTAATGAATAGCCTATAAACATGCGTAATTGTTATCGGGAATAGCCGGCAAATTTCTTAGAATGAAGAAACTAAATTCTTTGTTATTTCGAGTATCGTTATCAAATACTAATTTTTGTTGTTTTAATATTATGAAAGTTCTTATTTAATGAAATTCTTAGAAAATCAAATTTATTTTTGTAGTTGGTTTTTAAAGAAATTATAATTAGAAATAGAATTGATTAAAAAAAAATTTTGAATTTATTAATATAATTTTAACTCACCCTGTAGGTGACATTAACTGGGACGTTAGAATGACACATCTATTTTTAACACTCTGTATATGGATGTTCATATGACAATTATATAACTTAAATTCTAGAATCACTTTATCAGTTTTTGTAGAGTTATTAAACTTTTTGCACTCTAATTATAATTAAATGACTTTAATCAACACAAATTAAAAGCAAACTTTGAATTTTTTTTTTCCTAAAATAATTAGTCAAAACGTTTAATTATGCCATCTATAATTAATAAATTAAAACATTATTTAAAAAAAATTAATCTAATCTTTGCAAATAAAAATGAATCAACAAAATTATTCAAACAAAAATTGTATAATATATACAAATAAATATTTAAAATATAATTTTAAGTTACCCAAAAATAAAATGATTTTCCAAAAATTTTTTATAACCACGCGGTTGGCCTACGTGACAAGTCCAGAGTTGCGAATGGCAGCGCGAAATTCGTTCCGCTACTGGAAAAGGGAAAATCTTCCCGATTATGACTTACCCCATTCGTGATTTTCAGCTTCGGATCGAGCTGAGGCTATAAGGAGTGTTGTCAATGCGAAAAGAACCCACATTTTCTTGATAAACTATTGGAAATTGCAGTATAATTTTTAAAAAGTGAACACGGACACGCGGCGTTACACAACGAGGAACCGATACATGCGCAGGGCGCGCGGCAAATGCGGCTTTCAGCACCGACGACGTCCGATTTCTATTTTCCAGAGAGCTGAGACTCCCCTACCTATCATTGCGGTAGCGCGTAGCACCAACTAGAAGTTACATAACGATACTATTTAAACAAAAATCTATTTTTAATAATCTTTATATTAAACAAAAAATAATCTAGTACGTAAAAAAATCATTTGTTTTATAGAAACGTCAAAAATAAAAAATTTAAATAACATTTCATTTTATATATCTCTTTGTATTTATTAATTATTAAAAATTATTTAATTTAATATTCCTAATTAAACCAAAAATTAATAAAACAATTTGAAATAAAAAATTCAATAAATTTTAAATTTCATGAATGTACTCTACGTCATTGACCGCGCATGCGCCGAAGAAATATTCTTAGAACTGTCACTGTCGCACATCAGTATTTTGTATTTAGTAACCGTGGAAATGTGATTTTAGCAAACAACTTTAGTATTTTAGTGTATTTCTAGTGCGTTCCGGGTATAGAAAGAAGCCGAGGTTCACTATTCGGTAAGCGAATCATCATTTTGTTCGGTTTTATTCATAATCCGGGCCAAAAACGCCGTACAACCTGTTGTTGTTTTAGGTTATGTCCGCGTTATCAACGATTTCACGTTTGAAGACGTTTCGGTTTAGGTTATTGCCTTTGGTTGTTGTTTTAGTACTATACAATCCGGGTAGAAAGTTATAATGCGTATTTGACCTACAAATTATCTTATTAATGTCCGTGTAAAAGGATTTCTCTACTTTACAAAGAAGGTTACAAATGGATTATAACTTATTTCATTCTGTTATATACAGGGTGTTGGTCATAATGTAATTAAAATTTTTTTAAAGGTATGAGAGAAAGTAGTGAAATTTATTAGTTATAACTTGGATTTAAAAAAATCCATTCTATTAATTAACAATAAGTCACAATTACAATTATTCATTGTAACCTAGTTATACAATATAATTAATTTTATAAATATAAATACAGGGTTGTCACTTCGAACAAGTTTCTGAAGAAGGTTGCAACATGGCATCCGAAACGTCAAACCTCTTCTTAAGACGCAAAACCCGAAAGTTTATAGTGTTAGTTCTAATTTTAGTTCAACATAAATACAGGATGTTTCTGTAAGTCGTGGCACAATTTTAATCACAAATACTAAAGTAAAAATGATCACGATTCGCGTAAAAATTTTTGGTCTAAACCCATAAATGGCTAAGATATAGACCTTTGAAGTTAAGAAATTTTTAAATATTTTCAATATGGTTTGTTTTAGAACGATTAAATTAAGTAAAAGACATATTAAGTATATGACTGACCCTAGTCAGAAAGTAATGACGTGACAAAGTTGACCTTAAAACATAGGAACTCAAGGAACCAGGCCTATCTAATTAAATACATCGAAATCTAGAGACTAGAATGGGCGGTTCAAATTTCGAGGATGAAAAAAGAAAGACTGAGTGAGGCTGAAAGGACGTTTTTGATAATACGCAAATTGGAAATTTAAAATTAGTAGAGTTAATAGGTAATGCGGGGTTCTTCCTGCATCTCCTTTGAAAGCAACAGCTTGTTTCTAGGGTTTGGGTCAGAATTCTCCTATGCAGGATGTTTCTGTAAATCGTGGCATAATTTAATCACAGATACTAGAGTCACAATGATGACGATTCGTGTAAAAATTTTTGGTCTTAACCCATAAATGGCTAAGATATGGACCTTCAATGTTAAGAAATTTTTAAATATTTTCAATATGGTTTGTTTTAGAACGATTAAATTAAGTAAGACATATTAAGTATACAGGGTCAGTCAGAAAGTAATGACGTAACAAAGTTGACCTTAAAACATAGGAACTCAAGGAACCAGGCCTATCTAATTAAATACATCGAAATCTAGAGACTAGAATGGGCGGTTCAAATTTCGAGGATGAAAAAAGAAAGACTGAGTGAGGCTGAAAGGACGTTTTTGATAATACGCAAATTGGAAATTTAAAATTAGTAGAGTTAATAGGTAATGCGGGGTTCTTCCTGCATCTCCTTTGAAAGCAACAGCTTGTTTCTAGGGTTTGGGTCAGAATTCTCCTATGCAGGATGTTTCTGTAAATCGTGGCATAATTTAATCACAGATACTAGAGTCACAATGATGACGATTCGTGTAAAAATTTTTGGTCTTAACCCATAAATGGCTAAGATATGGACCTTCAATGTTAAGAAATTTTTAAATATTTTCAATATGGTTTGTTTTAGAACGATTAAATTAAGTAAGACATATTAAGTATACAGGGTCAGTCAGAAAGTAATGACGTAACAAAGTTGACCTTAAAACATAGGAACTCAAGGAACCAGGCCTATCTAATTAAATACATCGAAATCTAGAGACTAGAATGGGCGGTTCAAATTTCGAGGATGAAAAAAGAAAGACTGAGTGAGGCTGAAAGGACGTTTTTGATAATACGCAAATTGGAAATTTAAAATTAGTAGAGTTAATGGGTAATGCGGGGTTCCTCCTGCATCTCCTTTGAAAACAGCAGCTTGTTTCTAGGGTTTCGATCAAGGAGTTTTCCTATACAAGGTGTTTCTATAAGTCGTGGTATAATTCTAATCACAGATACTAGATTCACAATGATGACGATTCGTGCAAAAATTTTTGGTCTAAATCCATAAATGTCTAAGATATGGGCCTTCAAAGTTAAGACATTTTAAAATATTTTAAATACTGTTTGTCATAGAAAGGTAAAATTTAACCAACAGTGCAATGTTATCATGAGAAATCGTTTAAGATCACTTTTAAAAATATGCAAATACGGGCTCAATGCTATACAGGCTGTTCACAATGGTTATATTCTTAAAACTCTTTTATTATGTAATAAACCCTTAAATTTTCCAACTGATTCTAAAAGCCTATTTCATTTTAAAATTATTTTCACTTTTAGCGATTTTTGATTAGACGTATCGTTTTCGAGCTATTCGCAAAAAGATACAACCTCGTTTTTGATATACTGTCATTAATCGTAGGCACCCATGAAAACAAATCGTAAGAAAAGCAATATGTCAGGTTATTATCCAACAAAATCTGGATTTTCTTCAGTCCAATATTTATTTATTTATTTTACTTCCGAAATTACAGGGTTGCCCCTAATTACAAATTTCAGAACTTAAGTCTACTAGTACATAATATAACCAACAAAAATAACAAAACAACCAAGATCAAGCATAAATGTTAATTAACCCATCACAGAACGCGCGGAGGATATATTGAACCAAAACTTTAAAAAATGAACAGAATTACATCACAAATTACAGAATTCAATGACAAAAATCAAGTTTGGCTACTGGGTGGCTGCAGCACTTATCAAAGCACTTATATTAACCATTTCTCAAATTACTGGTCATCAGTAAAAAGTGTTTTCTCTAAAAACGCAGCATCAATAGTACTTTTTTCCATCATAATATGGCAAAATTGTACTAGCAACGGAAAAGCAGTTTTTAATTCTGGTACTGTTAACAATTAAGTAGTATGGAGACAATTGCTGTTCATGTGGGTCTCATCAAGCCATACTTTTGGATATTCCGAAATGTCTTCTTATATCAACAGTAGGTACTACGATCTGCCACAAAATCGAACATGTTTTCTTCTAGTTCGGGTATCCAAACTGACCTCAGATTCCTGTTATTTACATACTTTACGAACTGTTTTTTTATCAAGTTGTCTGTGGTTGAGGATTTTTTGCAATATCATTTAGCCGCTACGTTAGCATTGCCTAAACACTCTCCCAACGGTAAAAGCATGTCAATTTGCTCACTAAACTGTAATTATTTGCCATTTTAAATAACTATTAGCGACTAACGTATGTTGGGCTATAATTTGACAGTTGCTTTACCGCATTACTTACTATTTGTTTCCATAGAAACCTACGATTAATGAAAACATTTCAAAATCGTAGTTGTATCTTTTTGCGAATAACTCGAAAACGATGCGTCTAATCAAAAATTTCTAAGAGTAAAAATAACTTTAAAATGAACTAGGCTTTTTGAATCAGTTGGAGTCTACAAATTTAAGGGTTTCCGACATAATAAAAAAATTAAGGAAGTAGCCTTTGTGAACAGTCTGTATAGCATTGATCCTGTAGTGCATATTGTCAAAAGTGATCTTAAACAATTTCTTATAATAACATTACATAACATTACACTGTTTGCCAAATTTTATTTTTCTAAGACAAACTATATTGAAAATATTTATGAAAATGTTTAAAAATTTTAGCTTTGAAGGCTCATGTCTTACAATTAGTCATTTATGGGTTTACATCAAAAATTTTTACACGAATCGTCATTATTTTAAATCATGTATTTGTAATTAAAATTATCCAACGAAAAACGTTCTTTCGGTCTTTCTTTTTTCATCCTCAAAATGTGACCCTCCCATTCTAGTCTTTGGATTCCGATATGTGACTTTAAAAGTAATTCTTATAAATCTGGCGAAAGTAAAAATCCAATTTTCGCTCAATATCGGTTCTTAATAATGTCATAGCAGACGTAATATGGTAGTCAATATGACATGCAATTCTCACAGAACAACTGTGTAGGTCCTAATCATTGGGACGAACCCTTTTCTTAATTTTTTGAAGTAATTTTCTTCTGTGGAATTACCGATTAGGTATTTTTTCGGAGATAAAATCACTTGACCGTCTTTTCTTANAACTCTTTTATTATGTAGTAAACTCTTAAATTTTCCAACTGATTCTAAAAGCCTATTTCATTTTTAAATTATTTTCACTTTTAGCGATTTTTGATTAGACGTATCGTTTTCGAGCTATTCGCAAAAAGATACAACCTCGTTTTTGATATACTGTCATTAATCGTAGGCACCCATGAAAACAAATCGTAAGAAAAGCAATATGTCAGGTTATTATCCAACGTAACGTAAAATCTGGATTTTCTTCAGTCCAATATTAACCATTTCTCAAATTAATGGTCATCAGTAAAAAGTGTTTTCTCTAAAAACGCAGCATCAATAGTACTTTTTTCCATCATAATATGGCAAAACTGTACTA